CTGCTGTCTGACTCTGGTACATGAGTGAAACTGAAGAGCCCTGAATACACCAGTCAGCCCCAGTGGTATTCTTCAGTGTAAATATACTGGTTTGTAAGGAACAATCTCAGAGAGTCTGACCACCAGACTGCTCACAGTTTTAGATCCACCAGACTTCTTCTTCCAATGATATTTACAATACTATTGCAGGTGAGGATGATTACAGAGCTCTGAAGGCATCAAATGAATTTGTTTGTACAATTTAATAAATCATGCCTTTGTATTTGTGCTCTTGAAAAACTTGATAAGCACAGCTTATCTGCTTCATGCTCTTGTGTTGCATGCAACCCACATGCTCTCTCTTAAACTGGGTGCTTACAAATGAATAGTTTCAAGTTGTAAAGTGCTTTCACCCAGAGCCTTTAGATCTAACCCTTCACATAAACAGAAACATGTTTCAGTTTCTGATGTCCTCTCTTCTATCATTAACTGTAAGTCGTCATTTTCATCTTGCCGTCCTTATACTACTCGGGGACCCTTCCTTCTGCCTCTTTAGCATCACCTGCACCTATAGCCTCAGGGAGACACCTGATGAATGTATATGTGAGTCAGGCTCTTTAGGCTCAGTCCTGCAGTAATGACTTCCAGCTCAATAAGTACCAGCATTTCCTGGTAGTTATAAATGCCTGAGGACAACTCCTGAACACCTTCTGCATCTGTGGTCTCTGCTAGGCTCAATCTGAGCAGGGAATGTTTGATATTACTGGCTTCGTCTATCTGTTAAAAGATGGCTTTTTGATATGGGTGTGGTACTAAACTGAGGAGAACTCCACCAACTCCACAGGTGATAGCTACCAGCCATCTCCTCAGCATCCTTCAGCAGCTCCACAGACTCACTGCCTCTAGTGTCCACAGAAAATGTTGATGGTGGACGCTTATGTGTGTGGCTCTCAAGAATGGTCATGTACCCTGTAAAGTTAGAATAGGCACCCTGTGCTTAAAAATACTTACAGTTTACTAAGTTCTCTTCCCCAACACCAGACTGCTGCTCAGTCATACTGTGCTCCATAATAATATTTACCTGCTAGTTAAAAATACCAACAGTATATATTCTTTCTGAGTTTCCAGTTTGCAGTCCCTTCGCATCTTGTTCCCTTGTACCTAGAGTATACATTTGTACCCTGTCGGTACATTCTGTACTGCTGCACCATTCTAGAAAACATTGCACTGTAAATTGGGAAGAATTACCCTGTCACATGATCAGGGCCTTTTACAGATTGTAATTGGCATTAGTTTAAAAAGCTCCATATAACTTGAACTCTATAAGTCTCTTTGTGGTGGTTTTGTGTCTCTGTAGTTCTATGCTTTACCTTCCCAACAGAAGATTTTAACAACCACTTCAAACAGAGGCTCTAAAACAGGGATCCCCTGACCCTTGTGCCCCTAAGCTGTGCTCATAGACCAATATAGTGATTCATCTATGCCTCCACAATGTGATGAATCAACAGAGACAAGTGAGGATGTCATTACAATGCTACACATTAGGTTTGGACAGGGGGCGTTTAGGTCAAGACACTTAACCTGTGATGCTGCTGTGAAGTTTTGCTCTTTAGCAAAAACTCTTAGTTTTAACTCTTCCCTCTTCCCTGATCATGTGTCACAGGAGGGGGCAGTTAAAATACAACCCTTAAATGTTGGCAGTGAGGCTGCAGGGTAGCATAAGGGTCAGAAGAGCCTGAACTGGGATTTTAAGGGGTCAAGGAACATGAAACTGATTATGGATATTTACTGTTAAAGGGACCTTGATGAGCTCTTGTCAGAGGCCCCTAAAACTCTAGCAGCAGACCTGCATGGAGGGCTTAGTGTGGGATGAATCTGCATCCAGGCTAAAGCAGCAACAGCATTAAGTCCTCCTGTTGAGAGACAGAAAGGGAGTTTTACAGAATAACCCAGAAAATTAAAGGCAGAAGCTTTTTTAACTGTAAATTTAACCATAAATTGAGAGATCATCTTTTATTGTGAAGGATATATAACACCAAGGGAAGGCACCTTTATTTATACATCACATTTCATACTCAGAGGCAATTCAAAGTGCTTTACAGATGGCATCTCATGTTGTTGCTTTGAAGGGACATCAGTGTGTATTCTTCATCATAGTCATCCAGGACAAATGAACAGTACGATGGTGTAGGATGATCAACATGTTAACTGTACGTGCAATAAAAGCTCAGATGCCTAGAACAGGATAAAGGACGGATGTTGTGCAAACCAGTGACATAAGACAATTGTTGGAGGACAGAACCCCCCCGGTTTTCTCATAAAATGGAACCAGTGAATGAACTCTCAATGCTTTTATTATGAAGCACACACACATGCTCACTCCTCTCCTGTGGATGAAACTTCTGGGTGCATTGTGTAATCATCCTGTGTGAGCTGGCAGCGTACAGCAGCTGTCTGGCTGCAGTTTCACTCTGCCTTCATGAGAATGCAATGTCGAAACCACGCACATGGGGGTCTTCTGGGGGTAGCCTCCGGGGGGTGGTTTCCCTCACTCCCTCATCTTTATTTACTTCATCACTTTTACCAAACCAGGGACGTTTCTGAGAAAAACCAACTCTCCTTCATACGAGCGCCTAGAGAACAGTAAAACTGTAATAACCTAGTGGACAGTAAAGTAACATTATAAGACATAAACATGAACAAATGCACATGCTACAGTGCTTCCTCTTCATGTAGTCTCATTAGTGTAAACCCATGATTCAAAGTAATGACTTAGATTTATTTTAAAATCTGACACAGCTGAACTATAAACAAGTTACGGCAATCGGGTTGGCAATATTAGTCAAGGAATATTATTCTTTAATTCACTAATCAGAGTCTGTAAATGGAATTCACCAGATCCAGTATGGTGGAATGCATGTGAATACTTTTAATAGAAAAGAATAATGATGGGTAACAAATGAAAGGAAAGATCTGAATGGATAAAACTGTCATGTGTTCAAGAACATGAAGAAAACACAAGATGGACTGCCAACTGAATATCTCACTCTTAGAATAAAAATATAAGCGTAACTGTTTTAATTATTAACTTATTGTTATAATATTGTCAATGCTACGTGTGTATTTTTACAGTAATTAAACCTCTTACCAACTTGCATTCATGGTGTATTATGAAAAGAGCAATAACTGGGAGTACTTAAAATATCAATAACTGACATTGATTCAGCCAGTGAATTCTTGCATAAAAGATTCAATTTAGATAACAATAACTGTGGACACTGCTGAGACTGAAGAGTATCTTCTTTTGTTTAATTATGCATTCATTAGTACAAGAACTGGCTTCATTGTAAGGGTATAATAATGTTTAATATATAATGTCTGTCAAATGAATATAATGTCTGTTAAAGTTGAAGTATTCATGAAGCAATTGTGAAAATGTGAATCAGCAGATTAGAGCAATACCTTAATGGAGAATATATTACAACATGCACAGTGCATGATGCACTGTGTATTGCATATGCGTAGGCCTATATAATATTACACTGCACCAAATGTTGCATTGTTGTTCTGAGGGAAATGCTCATACAATACATGCACATTTAAGACAATGGGCTGTTTGTCTAGAAGAAAGGCTACCAGGTAATAATATCACAGAGAGTAATTGGTTAATTTAATGAATATCATCCTCCAGGTGCATGACATTGCAACTCATACTGTATGTAACGTTACATCAATACCAACCATGAAACTAAACGCATCAGACAATTGGGAAGCTGCAATAGGTTTAGCAAGCCACCAGGTGTCGCTATACTTGTTTTGTTTGAGATTCCAAAGCTTTGAATCTCTTTTCCGCACATAAAGAAAGAAATCCCCAGACTTATCAAGAATAATAAGGCTTCATCCACTACAACATGTGAAATTGCTAAAGGTTTTGAATGTAACTGTGATAGATTACTTATGGGAGACACAAAAGGCAAAATCAGACAGAAGGAAAAACAGGAAAAGGACGACGAAGAAGACAAAATATCCATCGTCAGTTCCCGTGAAGCACTGGCAGGGTCACGTGATGTCGTATTAGCTCGGTGACTCTGCTATGTTTGTCGTATCTGCTAAAGTTTTAGAAATGGCACATTCCTTGCATTTATCGGGCTATTGTCGTCAAGGGAGGTCCTGCGACTGCTCAAAAACCCGTTTCGAGCGAAGCTGGGAGAGGAGTTTGACTGAGAAAACGGCCTCTATGGGCCTGCACGTCACGTGACCATCATGCGGCTGAGCATTTGATAAAAAAGATGGCGTGAGCGCGGCGGAGAGGACAACAAACTCCGACCTACAGAGTGCAGGCGACAGAGAGCTACAGTAGCCGCTAAACTGTCTTGTAAGTTCACGTCAGCTATTTGTTTAGCACCAACCTAACGTTTCTATTATTGCAAACACCCACTTGTGGTTTAATTTTGGTACCAAAAGGGCAGAACTACGTTGTTTATTATATTTGAGGCAGTGACAGCGGTGACGTTCGCTTCGTCAACGCTCCTGGTTGCTAACGTTAGCTAGCAACAGCAATGACACTGCGTTGGTGCATCACAACAATGTGACAGAACAGTTTGCTAATCTACTGTAGCTGCCGTGGAATAGGAAGACTACGAGGGACACAGAGTGAGACCCGTGGTGTTGTGTAATTGAGTGTGAGTGCTCTAACTTTGCTGTTTGCTAACATTTACCGTTTATTCGTCAAGCAGCATAACCGTAACTTAGCTAACGAGTTAGCCAAAACTCGTGTTTAAATGCTCGCTAAGGCCCAACACACTTAACGTAGAAACAGAGTTAACGCACAACGTGCAAACAAACAGTGAACTGATAATTTTTGCTGTGTGTAAATAAACAGCAGCCAGGATAAAAACGGCTGACATTCGTCAGCATAAAGAAGTCTCCGTGGATTTCATGTGAAATCCACGGTGACTTGTTTCACTTTAGCGTTAACTTGTCACTATGATCGCTTTCTGAGATATGTAATTTAGCTGTACATTGCTTGACGTTAAGTTGGCATTTGTCAATTTATTGGTTGATAGTTGACTTAGCTGACTTGTCACTGACATGAATGTGAAACTGGTGTTTGTGCTTTCGGTTACTAGGTAAGCTAATAGCATTGCTAAGCTGTGTCACTATGGTCCAACCAGGACAGTTAAGCTAGCAGTGCACCAGTTCGGCGGTTAACTAGCTGCTGCAGATTACCTATACCAGGCCGTGAAATGTGTTTGGTACCATCACACACACCGTAACGTTACATCCTATGTGCTATGATTATTAAGCGGTTGAGCTAATAGATTTCCGTTGAGTCAGAGGGACCAGGAAGTTGCAAGCAAGGCGTTGCAAACACGTGTCTTGTTTTGGGTCACTTTGATTAGACCTGGTGTGTAAACGTCGCCGCGATAAATGGAAAATTGCTCATTCTTGTGTTGGACTAAATTTAAGTATCTGGAATAAGTGCTGGCTACGTTTTGGTTTCATTCCCACTAATTTTAGCCTTGATCTGTTGGACACAAGACCTGACTTTGAAATAACTTCAAGTTAACTGCGTGTTGGTTGAAGTTTGTTATAACGTTAATCGGTGTATGCATGTGGTTCAAGTATTTCTGATATCCCTTTTGTGTTTGTTGGTGCATGTTTTAGTTTGTCCACTGTAAGTGTTCACTGCAGCAAACTTATTTTTTATCATCATTTAATTGATGTTATTTTCTTGATTAATTATTTACAGTGTGTAGTTCACCTTTTCCTTCATATCAGATAAATGGGTCGTGTCGTGTTTCCCTGTGTATCTTAGTTGTTGGGACCATTGAACTATTGAAGTGTTAAATATTTGTAAGGTTCTTGCATTTAACAACCAGTTTAACTGTTTTGTCTTTGGTGCCATGTCTGAATATTTTCACAGCTGCAGCTGGTGATTCTTTTATCAATCATTCTGCTGAATACATCAGCCATAATTAGTTTGAATTGTCTGGTCTGTGCAATATCACTGATAAAATAGTGACTATATAGTGTAAAATGCTGATTTTCCTAAAGCTGAATAAAACAAACTAAAGCTGGAAATCTTAAAGTCTGAAAGGTGTTAGCATTTTGGCTTCAGTCTACAGTGTACAGTATATTCTATTGATCAGCTAATAGATTAATTGACTAATTGTTTTGATTATTGTTATTGTTGGGAAGATGTGATTTATTTATCAGCAGATACTGTCAGCACTGCATGTGAAAGTTGTATATTTGTTTTGCAGATGGATCCTGGACAGGATTTACTTCTTGCTGCCCTAAGTGAGAGTGGAATTTGCCCAAATGATATTGGCCTATTTGACATTGACTCTCAGGATGTGGGGCAGCCCTCTACAACCCAGCCAGTAAGATGATCTTTAGTTCTTGTTCTTAAGGAGCAATTTATTTGTTTTCATAATGCAATCATTGTGATTTCTGTTGCTCTCCCAGTCTATCTCCATCAGTGCCCTGGATGTTGGTGTGGGCACTGAGGCAATGGAAGTTGTTAGAAGTGAGCCTCCAGCTACAGTCCCTATAGTCACTATCAGGGTGAGATTACAGAATGTTCTCAATTAATTATTGAAGACATAATGTCATACTGCAGTGGATGTTTTGTACCGTGTGTTAAAATCAGCATTCTGTGCATTGTCTCCTGTTAATGTCTCTTAACAGCACAAACCTCAGCCATCAACCACCACATTTGTCTTAAATCAGCTGAATCAGCTGCCATCACTAGGAGCTGTTGTGACCAAACAGTCAGCTATAAACCCTATCAAACATACCATAACTGTCACCAAGGTGGTCCATGTTGCTAACTCAACACTGCGAGGGTCATCAACACCCTCTTCCACAATTATTCCTCCTTCAGCATCCACAGTAGTGCCTTCTAACAGAGATGAGGTGAGCTTATGGAATCCATGTCTTTGATGCTTGATGTTGGCAGCAGATCTTGACATACACAGGACAGCTCAGATAAAAGCATATCTCATTTATAGTGATTATCCATTTTGTATTCTAAGCAGGTTCAGCTGAAAGACCTTCTTAGGACCGGCCACGTGAAGAGCGCTGGTCTAAAGGGCAACAGTCTGATGGAGCTAATGAAGCTGAAGCCTCCACCTGACATTGCTCCACCAGTGGCAACAGCAGCAGCCACAGGTCCAGGTAAGTTATTTGAATGTGCAGTGTGATTGATGTAGCAGTTTTGAACTTGCTGTGCCAATCAGGGTTTGCCTCTGTTTGGAGACTGTAGGCTGTTTTAGAGAAGTTAACAAGAGCCATGGTTTGTTTGAGGTCAGTGAACAAAAATAATGTACAAAAAGCTTTAGAGTCAGGGAAGTGTCCACATTTCAATTGGACATTATATGTTTAAACATGAAAACTGAGAATTTTAAAATGGTTATAGGCCTGATCTGTACAAAGTTCTGTTAATCATTGCCAAAAAGCCAATGGAATAAAAATCTGGTGTTTGACCGTTCCCTCAGAATCTCCATTATATGAGTGGCATTCAATGTATCGGTAGCACCTGTTGTTGTCTCTGGTGTTTCAGGTGAAATGAACAATGGAATCAAGAAGGAAGTGTTTGGTAAAGATGCTGCCAGGGTCTGGATTAGTGACGACACTAAAATGCAAAACTTCTCACATTCTCTGGTGAGTGTTTATATGTGATTTAGAAACATGCATTTTACTCACTGCATACCAAATGCAGTGGTATGTTAAAGGAATATTAGGAGTCACAGTTAGATTTAGAAAACAGTGTTGTGAGATTGTGTTCTCTTTATGCCAAATCAACAGAAACCACCGGGGATGAAGGAAGAGGATGAGCCTGAGGAGGAAGATGATGAAGAGCTGGGTCATGCAGAGACTTATGCAGAGTACATGCCATTGAAATGTATGTATAACTGTTAAGTTGGTGGAGTGTATATTTGTTTTAGCGGGAGGGGGTAGGGGGGTAGGGTACATCTGTTGGTACTGAGCTTTGCTGAACATTGTTTGGACCTGAGTTTGAATCTCTCATCCTGTTAACACTTGGGATATGATAGGCCTACAGCATTCAACCAACCACAGTGCAATCAAGTCAGAACAAAATGAGCTGGTCTGAGTGATAACAGCTTCTCAGCTTCACTGTATCACTCATGAAATAAAAGACATTCCTGTCCCTGTCTGTGGATTGATCCACTGACCAGTCTGTTTGTTAATGCAGTGAAGATTGGCTTGCGGCACCCTGATTCTGTGGTGGAGACCAGTTCCCTGTCCAGTGTTAGCCCTCCAGATGTGTGGTACAGACTGTCCATCCCAGAGGAAGTCATTGATCTGGGCTACCTCTCTGCTCTGCAGCTGGAAGCCATCACATATGCAGCTCAGGTAACCAGAGTTCATTTTATGAACTAAACATTTGGATAAAAAATATTTTCAGCTTTTTCATACAATGTAAATGAGAATAAAACAAAATAAAAATGTTTCCTTTGAAAATGAAAACCATGAGGAAGCATGAGTTTAGTTTTTGTCAAACAAAAAGTGAAAAATGATGTGAATGACAGATGAATGGAAAATGTAACGAGAGTGTTAACGTGAAGTCTTATTTAACAACCGGCAGTGTGCAGACTCCCACATACACATCTGACTGGTAAAACATGTCCAGTGTTGTACACAACTTTCACATATTCAAAAGTTGAGTTAGGTGCTTTAGCTGTAAACGGTAAACTGTTGTGATCCTGTAAGAAAATAATCAAAAACGTTTGAACCTAGAGCAAAACTAACAAATGACTAAAATGTGACCAGAAATAATGGACATAAAAAGTAAAACACAGTAGGTAAACACTGGGCATGCCTTTAATTATTGTTTGTAAATGGCTGTATGTGTGTCTCCATTGTGAGCATTTCAACTTGTTTGAAAAACAAAATTGTGCCGTTTTTAATGTCATTTCTTGTCTCTGTATACCACAGCAACATGAGACATTCCTCCACAACGGCGATCGAGCTGCTTATTTGATTGGTGATGGAGCTGGTGTGGGGAAAGGCCGAACCATTGCAGGAATTATTTATGAGAATTATCTTTTAGGCAGGAAGAGATCACTTTGGTAAATGTGCAAAATCTTTGGCATTATATTTAAGTGGGATTCTGTCCAAATGTAGTGCAAATTTCAGCTGAACTAGTAAAAGAGGACACAACTTGAAACGATGGGAGAAATGTAGAAAACATGATGGGCATATGACATTTTAAAAGTTGCTCTTCATGAATGTCATGATTGGTTTTATTTTATTTTTTTTGTAAGGTTCCAGTGCATAATGGCACATTTCGCTTCTGTTGTTGCTAAATTTTCTTTGAGATATAAAAAAAAAACCCCAAATTTTCTGCATTTCCATTCAGGTTCTTTTAATACACAGCTTGAACATATGAATGGAAACCCACCTTTTGACACGGGGGATTACAAACAGCTATGCTTCAAATAAGTGTTATTTACCTCGAATGTCTCCTCATGCTCAGGTTTAGTGTCTCAAACGACTTGAAGTATGATGCTGAACGAGATTTAAGGGATATCGGAGCCAAGAACATTCCGGTTCACTCACTGAACAAGGTGCGTTACTATAACGACACAGAGATGAGAACAGTTAAGTGTTCACTGCCTAAATGTCACTGAATAACTTTTTTTTTTTTCCCAACCAGTTCAAATATGGAAAAATTTCCTCAAAACACAATGGGAGTGTGAAGAAAGGTGTGATCTTCGCCACCTACTCCTCTTTGATAGGAGAGAGCCAGTCAGGAGGGAAGTACAAGACCCGATTTGAACAGCTCCTCCACTGGTGTGGGGAGGACTTTGATGGAGTTGTATCCTTTCATGGCCCCACATGTATACAACAGCGAGTCAAATTATGTGCAAAATGATGTAGATAACATTACTTTAAACCATATCCTTTTTAGGTGTGATGACTTTCCTTAAGCAAATGTCTTTAGATCGTCTATGACGAGTGTCACAAAGCCAAGAACGTGTGCCCCATTGGCTCATCCAAACCTACTAAAACTGGGCTTGCAGTGTTGGAACTGCAGAACAAACTCCCCAAGGCTCGGGTTGTGTACGCAAGTGCTACAGGTTAGTATTCGCAGTCAGGCAACATTTACTTCATGGAGAAGTGATGGTGAACCTATGTCAACACTGAAATGTCTCACCCTTTCCTGTCTAGGTGCCTCTGAACCCAGAAACATGGCATATATGAACAGGCTGGGAATTTGGGGGCATAAAACGCCCTTCAGAGAATTCAGTAACTTCATTCAGGCTGTAGAGCGCAGGTGAGTTTTGTGTTTTTGTAAGTGACAGCAGAATTTCTCAGGAACAATACATTTCCACATGCCTGACAGACTTGAACACCATGGGCTTAATTATTTGTTTAAAATACTTCTTTGTCTCAATTCCAGGGGTGTTGGTGCCATGGAGATAGTAGCTATGGACATGAAACTGAGGGGGATGTACATTGCAAGACAGCTGAGTTTTACAGGTGTTACTTTTAAGATTGAGGAGGTTCCCCTGACTCAGCAATACATCAATATGTACAACAAATCTGTGAGACTGGTAAGCACATATTTAAGCTTGTAGACATGCATTTTAAGCACATTGCTTTCATTCTCAGTTAATAAAATGGTCCGGTTCTGCTTTTCCCAGTGGGTGAGTGCACGTGAGAAGTTCCAGCAGGCAGCAAACCTGATGGAAGCAGAGCAGCGCATGAAGAAATCCATGTGGGGTCAGTTCTGGTCTGCTCACCAGAGGTTCTTCAAATATCTCTGCATTGCATCCAAAGTCCGCCGAGTGGTGCAGCTGGCCAGAGAGGAGGTCCAGAATGGGAAGGTGAGGACCGTCAAGAAATGTGGCAGTAATTAGGGTTGCATATTTAGATTTTACTTTAGAAAGATAAACCTGTCTTAGAACTGTGAAAACCCAGTGGTGTGAGGAATAATAATAATAAAAAGAACATCAGTCTCCAGTTTTGTCAATGTTGTACCATTTAAAAACAACTCCAAAAGCATCTGTTACTTTAGAAGCCAACACACAACTGAATGAAGCTGTCAGGGTGAGGAAGCCTTCCATGGCCCTGACCACTCAAACATCCATAGTGGCAACCTTACACAGACATAAGAGGCAAAGACGTATTACTTAATAGCCGGCGTTACTGTGTTCAACGCTGCACAACAAGGGGTTAATAGTTTCCGAGATAAATGCTTTGCATTGACTTAATGCAAGTCATTGTGGGCTCCCTGTTACAGTGTTGGACCATAAATTTTCCTCTGTGTAACTAACAACCAACCAAGTTTAGGTTTAAAAGATGAGTGGAGTTTCCTGTAGCCAACAAAAGCTTCTCAGAATTGGTGCAGTAAATTCAGCGTAATGTCCATTTACTGCAGCAGCGATGTTATTCTTACCACTTTTCAGCAAAGAGCTTCTTGACAGAAATACCTGCAGGTGAAATCAGGAGTAACAGCCTGTCTCTAATGTAATAAAATAAAAGCCTGGCACTCTGAGAATTTATGACATATTATAAATTTGCCATTTGCTCAGTAAAGCAGTAATGCTGTGTAAAATAGTGACAGACGATTTCTTCTGCAGTGTGTGGTGATTGGTCTTCAGTCCACGGGCGAGGCAAGAACACTTGAGGCCTTGGAGGAAGGAGGAGGGGAGCTCAGTGACTTTGTGTCAACTGCAAAGTATGGATCGACTACAGATGTTGGATTTTTCATACATGGCTATGTGTGCATGTCGCTGTAATAAAATGTTTCTCTGGTAGGGGTGTGCTGCAGTCTCTGATTGAGAAGCACTTTCCAGCTCCAGACCGACAGAAGCTTTACAGCCTGTTAGGCATCGACCTCTCGGCTAAGAAGACCGCCTCCCCCAATGACACTGCTCCTGAACCTGAACAGAAGGGCAAGAAAAGGAAAGGTAATGAAAACTAGAAGTGAATGTTAAATGGCTGTAACTAATTAAAACTAAACCTGTAATCTCAGTTGTGTTCCTGACATTCGAGACAAGACATTTGCTGTTTCATGGGAGGATTCTGTAAAATGATGCACTTGTCAGAACCGTTTAACGTTTTCATTCATTCTCTAAAAATCTCTTCAGGTTCTGAAGTTAAAAAGCAACAAAAAAAGAAGGCTCGAAAGCACGGCGGTCTGTCGGGGACAAGCTCTGAGGAGAGCCAGTCGGAGGATTCGGATAAAGAGTCTGGGAAAGACTGCGACAGTGACGACAGCTTCAAGTCTATCAGCTCAGCAGATGAAGATGACGATTTCAACCCTTTCAGAGATGAGTCTGATGACGAGGAAGATGGTGAGCCCTGAGGGATCTTGGGAATGTTGAATTATGACATTTTATTTCAGAGCTTACATGGAACCTTGGTTCTTTTCTTTTCTTAGATCCTTGGCTTATCAGAAAGGAACCAAAGAAAGGGAAAGAAAAGAGGAGTAAAAAGAAAAGGAAGCGTATTGATCCAGACTCCATTCAAAGTGCCTTGTTGGCCTCTGGGCTCGGCTTTACCAGGCCTGCTTTCACTGCCCCTGTCAACCCCCCCAGCACGCCTGCCATAGGTGAGTGTGCTGCCACCTGGCAAAGCATTATAGTGCTATAGTTTTAGGCTCTTGAGGATTAATGGATGCCTTGTTTTCACTTGTTCATCAGTCAAAGCAGAGAGCCAAGACGGCTACCTAACAAGTCAGGACTCAGTCGAACTTGCCCAGAAAATGAAGAGAGACCTGCTGGAGCAGCTTGAGGAGCTGGCTGAGGAGCTGCCTCCCAACACTCTGGACCAGCTGATAGATGAACTGGGAGGGCCTGAGAACGTAGCTGAGGTATCAGCATGTCTTTGTTTACTTCAGGGATTGTTTCATTTACTTATTTATTGCGGTTTCTTTGTTTTTAAATTTGTATCTTGCTTTCTCCTTCCCCTGCATTTCAGATGACTGGTCGTAAAGGTCGTGTGGTCAGTAATGATGATGGCAGCATCACCTATGAATCTCGCTCTGAGCTAGATGTCCCGGTGGAAATCCTCAACCTCACAGAGAAGCAGAGGTTCATGGATGGAGAGAAGGTACAGGCCAGGTTACTGTGGAAATGAATGTTACCAAACGTGTAGCTCAGTCTAGGTGCTATAATGACAGCCTGAGGCTGCTTTCACACCTGTATCACCAGTTTATTTGGTCAGTTCATGTTCACACTGACTTATTAGAAAGAAATCAACGGGTGTAAACAGGATGTTGTATGGATTAAAAGGTTACTTTAAAAGCATAGAAAGGTGCTATACAAGTATAAGACCACTTACCATTTTACCATTTACATCTTTCAAATCAACGTAGATGATCTAGCGAGGTGCCACCAGAGTTAATTTGAAGCGAAACAAACGGGTGTGAAGGCAGCCTCAGCTGCAGACCTGCCAACCTCCACATATTTTGATATTGAAGGACGCTGGAACAACTTGGTGTTCTAAAGTATGATAAAACCAGTGACACCTTGTGAGTTTGACCAGTTGTGTAGTGATGTTAGTGAAGTTTACCCCATGGATCTGTTATTGAAACCATGGCCTACCCCAGTGAGTGCCTAATCTATAGATGTACAAAAGTAATTTCAGTTGTGTCCGTCTTCCCCCAGAACATAGCCATCATCTCTGAGGCTGCCAGCTCGGGTATTTCCCTGCAGGCCGATCGCCGTGTGAAGAACCAGCGGCGGAGAGTGCACATGACACTCGAGCTGCCATGGAGTGCAGACAGAGCTATTCAGCAGTTTGGTCAGTACACATTAACCCTTAGGATCCTTTATGCTTTGGTGTAATCAATGACATAACAGCATGGTTCAAAATGTAGCAGTGTTTCATCTTGCTTTGTGTGTGTGTGGACACAGGGAGGACTCACAGGTCCAACCAGGTCACTGCTCCAGAATACGTCTTCCTCATATCGGAGCTTGCAGGAGAGCAGAGATTTGCATCCATTGTGGCCAAAAGACTAGAAAGCCTGGTGGGTACGCTTGTTTATGACGTGTTTTCTGGAGAAAAGGGACTGATAGGAAGTTTTGTCCTTTTTTATTTTTTTAAATTTTAACTGCATTTGTGTTGATTCTTTCCAACAGGGTGCTCTCACCCATGGAGATAGAAGAGCAACAGAAACCCGAGATCTCAGCAGGTTTAATTTTGACAACAAAGTAAACACATCAAGGCTCTGTGTGAGAGAAGTTCTTATGGTTGCCTTTATTTTCTGGTGACTAACTTGTTTATCTTTGCTACAGTATGGCAGAAACGCTCTGGAAATTGTGATGAAATCAATCGTGAAGCTTGATTCTCCATTAGTGTCTCCGCCCTCTGACTTTAAAGGGGATTTCTTTAAAGGTATGACTCATGTGCCGTTCCAAACAGGGCAAGGAATTTATTTCCCTTTCAGTCTGGCATTACTTTTTGCTGTATGTCTGGTTCACCCTGTACATGTTGGTGTAATATTTTACACAGTATGGTATTTAAATATTTAGTTTTTTAAAAAAAATGAAGGTTTTCATCTGTGGCTCTGAGTCATAACAGTGTTTTTGTTCTGTAGAAATCCAAAGTGGATTAATAGGTGTGGGCCTCATAAATGTGGAGGACCGATCTGGCACGCTGTCACTGGACAAAGGTGATTTTTTTAAATGACCCATCACAAGTGTTCTTGCTGTCAATGCATGTACAGTGAAAGATTCAGGTAAATCTGACGCATATACTTCGTTACTGCTACAGACTATAACAACATTGGGAAATTCCTGAACCGTATTTTGGGCATGGAGGTCCAGCAGCAGAACGCCTTGTTCCAGTACTTTTCTGACACACTGGCCGCAGTGATTCAGGAAGCAAAGAAGAACGGCAGATATGACATGGGCATTCTCGGTAAGATAGTGTTGTTTCTCTTTTTATCATTGAGCCATCTTGAGAAACACAGAAGGCATTTGTTACAGTGTTAAATTATTCGGAGTGTAGTTGGAGTCATCTGCTTGTCCTGGAAGTTAGAGCTGCTCAGGAAATGTATTTAAACTCATGCTCCATTTGGTCTGTGTTAGACCTGGGCTCTGGCGACGAGAAGGTGAAGAAGGTCGACTGCAGGAGATTCCTGACCCCGGGTTATACCACAGCAGGGCATGTTGAACTGTACACGGTAAGCTCACATCTCGTCATGTGCCCTTTAGGACACGGTTAGGTTGCAGTAACATTACTAAACTGTGCCTGCGTCTTTTTACAGGTGAGTGTGGAGAGGGGCATGTCGTGGGAAGAAGCCACACACGCGTGGGCAGACCAGAGTGGGCCAGATGATGGCTTCTATGAAGGGGTTTTTTAAAAAAAAAAAAAAAAAAAAAAAAAAAAAAAATAGCGCAGCGACTTTTGCAGTCCAACAACTTTTCAACATGAATTGGTTTTATTTTATTAAAAGGAGCTCAGTGGACTGTGGAAAAATACGATGCAGCAGATGCTAAGATTAATCCTTAGAATGTTTCAGACTCAAAGTACTGGAACCATATTTCTGTTATACTAATCTCCGACGTCTCTCACTAAATCCTGTCTGATTGGCATAATTCCATGGCTTTCAAACCAGAAGTCCCCAGTTTGATCAGATTGTCTCCAGAGCCAAGCTGAAGTTAATATTTTCCCCAGATGTTACAAAGTCCCCTCCATGACCACAAGACATGAAGTAACTGTTTTCACAGGCTGAGTAGTATTATCCATAACCAGTAAACTGATCTGTATGTGCACCGTCTGTGCAGTGCCCCTTTTTAGCTACATGTCTTTGGATTTCAGATGAGGAATAACAAGAAAACAGCCATATTGGTCAAAGAGCTGAACAACAAGAAGAGGCTGTTCCTGGTCTACAGGCCCAACACGGGCAAGCAGCTCAAGCTGGAGACGTACACAGACATCAAGAAGAAGTTTAAGAAGGTTACACAGCATTATTTTATTGATATTGGTGGAAGAACTGAATGCTTTATGTGGTGAAACATGGTGTTTTTGCTTGAGCAGGTCTTGTCAGAAGATGCCAAGCAGCACTGGACTGAGCAGTACAAGTTGTCTGCAAAGATCTGCTCTCATGCATATTGGTATGTGAGTAAATTGTGAGCAGCTGTTCTCCATGTTCTTTAAAGCCAAAAATAAAAATTGAGCCTTGCTATTGACATTGATCAGTCAACATGAGACAAGTTGTCCTCTGTTTGGTTAACCCCAGTCTGTGTGCTATTCTGCCCTCAGGCGAGGTAACTGTAAGAAGGCGTCGGTGGGGCTTCAGTGTGAAGTCGGCCTTCGGTGTCGGACGTACTACGTGCTGTGTGGCTCGGTGCTCAGTGTGTGGAATGAGCTGGAGGAAGTGCTTACTCCAGTCGGTGGAACCAACGTGAAGGTGCAGATTGTGCGCCTCAGAGCAGAAGATGGACAGAGGATAGTGGGTAGGTCGAAGGGCTGACTTCTCAGGAAGAGTTTGACATTTTGGGAAACACTGCTGCTTTCTTGATCCACTGACCCCTGTTCAGGATGTTCAGGGCATCTGCAGGTCTCAGGCTTCAAACACAATGAATATAGATTCCTTTTTTTCTGTCTCTGCAGGCAGTAATAATAGTTATCCACCTAAAACTGACAGTGGATTGAGTTGTCACCGCCATCAGACCTGCAGCAAACCGTCACTACTGCAGCTTCAGTAGTGAAGACACTCAGTCTCTTAATGTGCAGGTGTCAGTGTCAGCACAAACATAAGGAACTTTAACGATTTAAATGCTATTCAGTGATCCATTAGCCACCCTAAGTCGCGTTAATCTGGTTAGCGTGTCTGTTGTACATCGGGCCGTCTTTTGTCTTTGGTCTAGGTTTCCTTCCATTTGAAGCCTGGTCATCAGTCTCCTCTGCTATTTCATGGACTCAGTGGTTTTATTGCTTTTATTTTATTTTATTTTATTTTTTTAATCCAGTTCTAAGGTGGTTGTCTTGTTAGACCAAGAAGATGCTGTGTATGCTTTGTTCTTTCCCCTTTATTGTGTGTCTGTTTCCTGCT